AAAAAATGCAGGTAATCGCGGATAAAACCAGACGTAAGCAGACGTTTGCAGATGATTCCGGACAAATTCAGATATAAACGAAACACAGTGAAGACGGTTAAAAACAGATGATTGCAGATGATTGCGGGGGTGCACTAACCGGACATAAAACACAACTAACCGGGTGTTCGCGGATATAGCGATGCGGACAAAAGCAGATGTTATCAGATGATATTTTTACCCGCTTTTATCTGCTTTTATCCGGCTTCGACGAAGAATTTATACCTGCAATCATCTGCTTTTATCCGGTTTTGACGAAGAATTTATATCCGCAATCATCCGTCATTTTCAGCAGGGTAGGTACCTACTTTGTTTATGTAAAATATTTAAAGGACAACGTGGTCGCCACTGTAATGCTTACAATGCCACTTACAATGCTTTTATTTTGAGTAAAAAACAGAATTATTTTTAGGTAGGTACTTTGTTTATGTAAAATATGTAAAGGACAACGTGGTCGCCACTGTAACACCAGGGAAAATAAAAAGGTTCAATGTAAATTATTACAATCCCACTAAAACCTATAGCGTTCTTTATGATGATGAATACTATAGGTCCATAATTAGCACAGGCGGTAAGTATTTCTTTAAATTATCATATTATAATTGTTTAATTGTTTAAACTTGTCTTAATTGGTTCAATACAACTATGGGTGCTGTTATGTTTTCAGTGCTTGTCAGCCCTATGAGGATATATAGGCCCTGGGCCTGTTGGATATAAATAAATAAATATATTGGCATAACGGAGCGTTTGGCGAAGATTCTGGTGTGTGCCGGATTAACCATATTTCTGAATTTATATACAGATTAGTTCGACCATCTTCCGATGGGGGCGCTGCGGTGTATGCAAGTTTGTAAATGTAATGGTTTTCTATCGGGATATGCAAATAGAAAGTCAATTTTGAGAATGAGTCTGAAATTGCTGGCCAACCTGAAGACGACGAGGATGAAGAAGATGAAGATTAATAATAATAATAATAATATTGAAATAAATAAAAACAATGAAACAATGAATATCTAAGGCCGCTCACACGATGGAATATGTGACTATTGAGACAACATTTGTAATGCTAAAATAAAGGTTTGTACAAAAATTCAGCTTATTTCGTTAGATTCCGAGGTTGACCCCTTTTTTTTGACTAAGATGACTACTAAAGATACAGCGCTTCAAAGTCGGTAAAAATGACCACTTTTCAGCAAAATAATCAAAAAGGGGTCATTTTTACCGACTTTGAAGCGCTGTATCTTCGTTACTGGTCGTTTGATTTCTACAAAATTTTCAGGGTATACTAACAAAAATACGGTCCTTAACAGCATATTTTTTATTTACTTAAAAAAATTCCCTATAAAAGTTTTTTTCGAGCGTTTTTTTTTTTAAATATTAAATATAAGGGCTTTAAAAATATTTTCTCGAAAAACCCTCGAACACGTAAACTGAGATATAAGTTGAAGTATTCTTATACAAAATTTAATAAAGATTGGTAAAGGCGTTTTAGAGTTTTTTTACTTATTATGCGTTAATTTTGACGCGCAGTGTAGTAAGCTAACTTCAGTCCGTGACTAAAACTCCATAAAATCACAATGTTCTGTGGTTACAGATTGTCAATGTACAAGTAGATAAAAGAGTTTTTTGCTTAATCAGATAAATCTATATCTTTATCTACCTAAATTATTTAAATTTTGAAGATTAAAAAACAATATCTTTACACAACATAATATCTTTAAATTTTAACTTAATTTAACTTTACACAACCTAATATCTTTATTACAAGGTTTTATTTCATTTTTAAATAATATTATATATCTAATAATGAGCTGTCAAAGATACTTTTAAAAAGTATCTAGATACAAGATAAGTTACTTTTTGAAAAAGTATCCGAAGTATCTATAGAGTAACTATAGTTACTCTTTAAAAAAAGGAACTTAAATACTTATCTTAAGTTACTTTTTAAGATACTTAATAAGATACTTTTTTAGTTACTTTGTATAATATGTGATAAGTTTCGTATAAACCGCCCAACAAAAATTCGTTCCAACCCCACCCTGATTTTTCAAATAATTTTAAGCTTACTTTTTTAACAATTTTTTTCAATAAAATCTAGTTGATTAAAACCATTGAAGGGTCTTATGCAAAAAGTGTCTAACTTAGGCACTTTTAAAATATCTTAAAAATAAAAAGAGATAAAATCGTTAATTAAACACCACTTAATTATAAAAATAAAAAAAATATCTCACACTTTTCATTTAATCTTTTTTAACATTTTTTTTAAATTTAAAATGGAAAACATACATTGAACATTAATAATGTTACATTATAGAATGTACGGTACAATGTAACAACCAATATCCTACATCAGTACATCATAAAGAAGCAAGTGCAAGTTCTTACCTAACCTAACTTATTTCATACTTACCACTATAAATTCAAGTCGCAACGAATGGAAACACCCTTCTACAGAGCGGGTGGCGAAGTCACAGATTATAAAAGATGTATTGGTGAATAAAAATTAAGTGGGTATAACAAAATCGCCGCCAGTCGATTGGCGCCAGTCGCTGAAGTCGCCAGTATACTTATTATAATAACTTCGATGGCCGCGGCCGTTTCGAACAACTTGACTAAAGGAACTTTTCTTGTGGTATCTTAGATACTTTTTGGTATCTAAGTTACTTTTTGGTATCTTAGATACTTTTCGGTATCTAAGATACTTTTTTTAAGTTACAAGATACAGTTCCTTTTAAAAAGTATCTAAGATACTAGATACTTTTTGTTAAGAAAATAAAGGAACTAAGATACAGTAACTTAGATACTTTAAAGTAACTAAGTTACTCTAAAGTAACTAAGATACTTTTTTCTGACAGCTCTGTCTAATATATAACTGGATAAAAAACAAACACTGTTTTTGAGTTTCACGAATTTATTTAAATTTTATTTGACAATTGTTTCGCTAACACAGTAGCTTCTTCAGAAATGATTTCAAACTTATCTAATAACTACACTTAGTCTAGTCTAGCCATAATGGATTAATTATGGGTAACCCACTTAGTCCATTATTAGCTGATATTTTTGTAAACCACTTAGAATTAATTATTCATAAACAATGTTAAACATCCTAATATGAAACAATTCTTATATTGGTACAGATATGTAGACTATATCCTAACATGTTTTACAGGCACAAAAAGACAATTATAGCTTCCTAAATTTTATTAATCAAATACACCCCAATATAAAATTTACAATGGAAGAAGAACTAAATAATCAAATTAACTTTTTAGATCTTACTATCCAAAAAATGAATAATACTCACACATTTAAAATCTACCATAAACCTAGTTACACAGACATAACAATACATAATAGTTCCTCGCATCCTTTTTCTCAAAAAATAGCAGCCTTTAATTGCATGATACACAGACTTTTAAACGTACCAATGACAGAATCCGATTTTCAAGATGAATTAAATTTAATTAAACAAATTGCAACGAACAATGGTTATAGCGCACAATTAATTAATAATATTTTAAGTAACAAAAAACTGAAAATGGCTATAAACCAAGTATTTCCAACACTAAAGAACCCTACAGCTACATATAACATTGTCACATACTTAGGTAATAAGACAAGACATGTGTCGAATTTCTTCAAAAAGAATAATATTCAAATAGCATTCAAAACCAACAACAATTTGAGTACATTTATAAAAAATAACAAAGACAAACCTAAGAAAGACACGAAGTCTGGAGTCTACCAACTACAATGTCCAGATTGTCCAAAAACTTACATAGGACAAACAGGCCGCAAGTTTAAAACTAGAATTAATGAACATTGAAAATCTTTTATTAATCAAAAAACAGATTCAACGTTTGCTAACCATTTAATTCAAGAAAACCATTCATTTGATAATAATTTCAAAATTTTGCTTTTGAAAATAAGGGTACGAAGTTAAATTTGCTGGAATCTTTGGAAATTAATAAATTAAAAAAATCTGATATTATTCTAAATGATCAAATAGAAACTAATAATTCCCCCCTGTTAAATTTATTCTTATATTATATAAGGTTAAAAATCCCCAAAATTATTTTATTACAACTTTTGTTAAACTTCGACAGGTAAAATAATTATACAGTACTAATATTTTATAAAAAAAACCCATTACCTGCAATAATTGTGTTATATAAGTTCGTTATTAGATAAGTTTGAAATCATTTCTGAAGAAGCTACTGTGTTAGCGAAACAATTGCCAAATAAAATTTAAATAAATTCGTGAAACTCAAAAACAGTGTTTGTTTTTTATCCAGTTATATATTAGTGACATGGAGTTTCATCAAGTAAAGGTAAAAAACAATAAAATATTATTATATATATAATATATATTATTAAAATATAAATTGGTATAAAATAAAAATCTCTTTTACTTTAATTTTTTTAATTTTTCGCTTTCTCATAGTGGACATTTATTTTATGTTTTTATTGAGAGTAGGTACTTATTTTAAAATACATTTTGCATCTAAAAAAGAGTTTTTATCAGATAAATCTACATCTTTAGATTTTTAGATGGATTATTTAAATTTTGAAGATAGTTTTTCCCAGTTTTAATGCATTTCCGTTATAGCTATTTATTAAATTAGTAACATTGTTAATAATAATAATTATTATTATTTATATTTTATTTAAGAATAGAATGTTGCGCAAATTTCTCAAAGGCTGTTTTACTCGTTTATTCAAAAAATATGGTCGAAAAGGTCCGTAAGCAAATCTAACAAAAACCTAATTTTCGTCATTTATGTCGAACTTTTCTCGTAGGAAATTTAATAAGGAACATTTTTACTAGATTGTGAATACTTGTTGAAGTTTTAAAATGATTTCCATACATAAAAGATTACTTGCAAATAAAGTGGTTAAAGTTGATTATGCGTTAAAAATTTGCTATCGCACAGGAAAACGTTACACCCAATGATACTAGTCTGATAGGTACTAGTTAATCATGTCGCTTGATGAAATTAAATCATTTAGTAATTACGAATTGATTAATTTCTTTAAAAAGGTAGTTTTGTAGTGTAGAAAAATTTGTAGTTCTAAACATTATTGTCATTTTAGAATAACCTCAAAAAATGGGTGCCCTTTTTAGAAGAAAATAATCTTGATGGAAAACAATTAATGGTAAGTTTAATTTGTTATAATATATATCTATTTAAATTTACTTTATCTAAATAAGTTTTATTATACCTATTAAATTTAGGGTTGGAAAAAATAATAATATATTTATTTAGCCTCTGCTATTTAAAACAAGTATACATTTACATTATTTTAACTTTTTAAATACATATATAAATCAACAATTTTTCTATCACAAAATATTTTAACAAATTTTTAAAATGAATGAAGTTCAAGTATCACAGTATTTAATTTCATGTTGTAAATTATTATACAATTGAAATCCTTTAAAAAATATACTTTTGCTATATTTACTGGACTTGGGTTATATAAATATCTTTGTCTTGCCTTGTTGGATAGTTATAAATATCACAGTTTAATTTTACTTTTTTAGTTAAATATATGAGAGTCATATGGTTTAATATTTTAAAAACAAAGATTAAGGTTCTAAAAGTTATTCTTTGACTAACAGACATAAAATTTAGTACATTTAACATTTAAGTCCAAAGAGAATTGTAGATCAATATTCCAAGTGGGGGGCTATTAGTGTTTTGTATAATGTTATTTTAATATTTATACTTAATTCTCTCCTAATTCTTCTTAAAAAATATATTTTTTTAATAATCTTGTTTTGTATACATACTTAAAATGGCTTAAAAAATTTAACTTTTTGTCAACTAAGTATTTAATTTCTTGAACTATATCTAATTTTATTCCATTTATTATAATATTAAGGTCTACATTATTATTAAACTTACTAACTACCATATATTTAGATTTTTGAACTTAAACTATTATTACTATTATTACAAAGTCAGGTATAAATTCTGTGAAGATCACAGTTCATTTCTTTTCTCATTTCCTCTAGGTTAGGTATTACCAATTATATACAACATGGTATCGTCCGCAAACATAACTATTTTACATTTTAATATTACTTTTGCAATATCATTAATGTATAAAATAAATAATATGGCAGCTAATTTAGTTCCTTGAGGAACCCCATGTTCATTTTTAATTTCTTCAGATAATTTATTTTTAAACTTAACTTTCTGCTTTCTATTTTTTAAAAAGGATTCGAACCAACTTAATGCCACTCCGTTAAAACCAATTTTATTTAATTTTCTTAATAGTAAGTTTATATTAATAGTTTCAAATGCCCTTTTAAAATCCAGAAAAACAGCCAATATATTCAAATTATTGTCTTTATGTTTTTGCCATTCATCACATATATTTATCACAGTATACTGTAACTATATATAACAATAACAATGTATTTTGTGAAAACCAATCGGGTTTTAGAAAGAAGCACTCATGTGAAACTATATATATTTTCACAGTATTCAACTAGTTGTTCTTTTACCACATCTTCCAATATTTTTTCAAAAAGTGAAACAACATTTACTGGTCTAAATTCTTCACATAACATAGTGTTAGGCACTTTTGGTACAGGAATTACAACAGAAACTTTTAGTTTTGATGGAAATGTTCCTTTTGATATTGACGTGTTAACAACTTCTAAAAGTCTGTGTCCTATTACTTCGAAAGCATCTTTAATTATAGAGGTGGTGACTTTATGTTCTATGTGCATTGAGTTTTTTAATGACTATTTCCCTCGTCTTAATTTCCACCAATCACAAACGCGCAATTTTGAATTACAAATGGTTTCTAGGTAAAAAAACTGTGTGACAGCACCTGTCAGCAGTTTATTCGAGTTTACCCGCGGCAAAACTTGACAGCTGTTGTCACCAAAAATTGCAATTTATATTTTAATTGTTAACTGTTACTCATGAAATAGTCTTGTCAAATACCATTCGGGCATCTAATTTTTCCTGTGAAAAAAATCGAAAAAACAAAATGCTAAGTAATATTTTTTAACAAAATGCATTCGTGCAGGTGCAAAAATCCTCCTCTTCGACTCGGATTTTTTTGCCACCAGCACTCATGCTTTTTGTTAAAATATTACTTAGCAACGTGTTTTTTCGATTCTTTTCGGAAAAATTAAATGCCCTTATGATATTACTTACGAATAAATAACTTTTCTTAATTTTGACATGGTGATTGGTTTAAATTTATCAGTGTTTTTTATAAAATCAACATTGTTTAAAGTATATTCAATATTATTAACTTTTTTTATATTGTTTACAATTTCTTTAATGCTTTCAATAAAATATGTGTTGAATTTCTCGCTTATTATTTGTTCTTCTTTTTCTTCACCATCCTTAAAATTTATCCTTTCTCCACATTTATTATTTTTGTCAGGTAATATTTTATTATTAAGTTCTTTTCATAGTACTTTAGAGTTCTTTCTATTAGATTCAATCGTTTCATTAAAATGATTTTCCTTAGCTTCCCTAATCGCTGTTATTATTTTATTTCTTTGTTTTTAATATGCATTCCAGTCCTCTGCTATATTAGTATACAATGCTTTTTTAAAATGGTGTAGCGTAATTTATGTACAACAACATAATAAATAATTAAAATAGTAAAAAACATATTTTTTTGCAAAAATATACTCTACATAATATTTATAATGAATATATAGGAGATTCCTCGAGGAGAAATCTCCTCTTTTGACCAATTTTGACCGCACACGGTAGGGCTTAAGTAATTTAAAATCAAGTTGAAAGCAACTCTAAATTTCCTTGCGTGGTATGTTTTATTTTGTAATTAGAAGTCAAAATATCGAAAAACCAAAATCGTAAATCAGCCCGTTTCTTTTTTTTTAACCAAATTACGATTTTTTTTAAATGACATTTAAATGTATATACAAAATAATTAAAAAATAAATAAATGTGTGTGTGTATGCATTTATATTTATACATAAATATAAAATCAATAAAAATATCCATTTTCAACATAAAATAATTTATTTTTGCTAAACAAAATAACAAACGACCAAACTATCAGTATAAGTAATACAAATAAACACATCAAAATAAATCATTAAATTATAAATAATCAAACATGTTTACTGTCATATTCACAGGTAGCTCTTATTAACCTCTCACCAAAATCTGGATGATTTTTGTATTTATTCCAAGTCACTTTGAAATCTGCGTGTACCGACTCCATCGCCTGCTTTATTATTTTTATGACAAAAATACTTAAACTTAAATAACTAATTTGAAAATCAGTAATATTTTTCTTATAATGCGGTTTTAACGTTTCACCAAAACAGGAATCAACTACCTTTCCAAATTTAGATAAACAATTTGCTAATGGTGTGGACAATAAAAGAATACGTGTTCTGCATCCTCCAGCGCTTCGCACCCCGCCGGGCAATCTGGTGAATCTTCGTGCCTGAACCGGTGAAGGAATGCCCTAAAGCATCCGTGATTTGAAAGCGTCTGGGTCAGGTAATAGTTGATTTCCCCGTGTGTGCGGTTTACCCAACTCTCAACCTGAGAAATGAGGCGATAAGTCCACCTTCCCTTCTCAGATGCATCCCATTTCTGCTGCCACCGTTGCGTTGGAGGCTATTCTGCCTCGTGATCTTCTTCAGCTCCTTTTGTTCCTCCGGGATGCTACTTCGTTGCTCGAAGAGCTGCTTCCTCTCCGCTGCCAATACCTCTATGGGCATCATTCCCGCAATAACGCAACCGGCATCATCGGATACCGTGCGGAAGGCAGATGATACTCTGAGTGTGCTGAGCCGATGAACTGCTGCGATCTTCCGTCGATACTTCTCGGTCTAAAGGGCTTCACCCCAGATGGCTATTCCATATGTAAGTATGGAGGTCACCACTGATGCTAAAAGTTTTCTCCGGGGGTGACGAGGTCCACCAATGTTTGGCATAAGTCTCGCTAACGCAGTGGGCACTTTAGCTGCCTTGGCTGCAGCATGTTCTACGTGAGCCTTGAAGCTAAGTCTTGTATCAAGCATCACTCCCAAGTACCTAATACAAGGCTGCGAAGTAATGGTGCACTGTCCCACGTCAAGGGTGATGGCCTCCACTTTTTTCCGACTCGTAAATAGTACCGCTTCAGTTTTGTGATCAGCCAGTTTGGGACCGACTGAACCCATCCACTGCTGAACTGCTTCATAGCATTCTCGGAAGATGCGCTGGATCTCCTCCAGGTTCTTTTCAGTGATGACTAGCCCCGCGTCGTCCGCAAAGGCCACCATCTCGGCTCCTGGTGGCAGCTTCACCTTAAGCAGATCATCGTACATGATGTTCCACAGAAGAGGCCCCAACACCGAGCCTTGAGGAACTCCCCCAGTGATCATGTAGTGTTTTAGACCATCTTCTGTATCATATGTCAGTAGTCGATTCTCCAGATATCTCTTGATCATGTTCTTCAAGTACGCCGGTACACTAAGCCTATCCAGGGCCAGACATATGTTTTTCCACCTGGCTGAGTTAAAGGCATTCCTCACATCGAGGGCCGCAAGCATGCAGTACTGCTTACTTCCGCGCTTCCACCGCGCTCCAGCTATTGCGTTCTTCCCTTTACCGACGACTTGGATGATGGTGTCGAGGGTCGATTTTCCTTTTCTGAAGCCGTACTGGTTTTCTGCCAAAAGACATCTAATAGAGGCCTCAATACGGTTAAAAATTAAGCGTTCCAGAATCTTTCTGGATAAATCCAGCATGCACAATGGGCGATAGGATGACGGATCATCCGGTGGTTTGTTACCCTTGGACAAGAGCACCTCGGGGGCTGCCTTCACTGCCGTCTTCAGCGCCACATTGGGGATGTTGTCCATACCCGGTGACTTGTTGTTCCCAACTCTGTTATTCGCCCGAAGTAGCTCCTCCCGGGTTATCAGAGGGAAGTCTTCATCTTGTTTCTCCACTTGGTAGCTAAAGGTATCCTGCTTTGGAAACAAAGTGCTGACAATCTTCTCAAGTTGTTTGGGGCATGTGGGTTGTTGTCTTGACTATATCTTAAGCGGGGTTATAACGACCTTATAAGGTCTTCTCCATGGATCTTCATCCACTATCTCGAGTAACTGCGTCCAACACTGCCGCTTGCTACGCTTGATAGCTTTAGTTAGTTTG